GTGTGTGTGTGTGTGTGTGTGTGTGTGTGAGTGTGTGTGTGTGTGTGTGTGTGTGTGTGTGTGTGTGTGTGTGTGTGTGTGCGCGCACACGTTTTTGTGACATATGAGGACACAAATTTGTACAATGACATGGGTATGACATAGGTATTACAAGGAGAAGGTGACTTATGAGGACATTACCCCATGTCCCCACTTTTCAAAACGCTTATAAATCATACAGAATGAGTTTTTTTGAGAAAGTAAAATGCACAAAAGTTTTCTATAAGGGGTAGGTTTAGGTGTAGGGTTGGTGTAGGGCAATAGCACATACAGTTTGTACAGTATAAAAACCATTACACCTATGTAATGTCCCCCAAAATTCACAAAAACACATGACGTCACCTGATAGCTGAATAAATAAGCTTTCCATTGAAGTATGGTTTGTTAGGATAGGACAGTATTTGTCCGAGATACAACTATTTGAATATCTGGAATCTGAGGGTGGAAAAAAAATCAAAATACTGAGAAAATCGCCTTTAAAGTTGTCCAAATTAAATTCTTAGCTTGTTTTAAGTTTTGATATATTTACAGTAGGAAATTTACAAAATATCTTCATTGAACATGATTTTTATTTAATATCCTAATGATTTTTGGCATAAAGAAAAATCAATAATTTTGTTGTTGTGTATTATTGGCTATTGCTACAAATTTACCCGTGCGACTTATGACTGGTTTTGGGGTCCAGGGTCACACACACACACACACACACACACACACACACATACATACATACATACATACATACATACATACATAAATGTATTTATTTATTTATAAATATACAATATGAAATCAAATAAAACATTACATTAAATGATTTACATTGTCACACAGGCAAATATCTGAGTAAATAAAATGTTTTAAGTCAAAAGTCACAATCAGCAATTTAATTGAAATTTAAAAAGCATTGTTCAATTCGATCTGAATGGCACACCCTCCTGGGCTGATGAAGACATTGTCATTGTCGAGGTTACATTAGTCACCTCTGAACTAGTGCATCAGAAGCACTCATAATATTGTGTGATGTTAAGAAAGCCTTTGAAGCAGAGAAAGTAAAATATTAAACATTTTTACCCACAGCCATACTGCAAAAAGAGGGAACAAAACAAAACAAGAAGCCTGCTGCGAAAGAAAGAGAACATGCGAGCTCAGTGAATAAAGAAAGGCACCACGTTCTTTCAGAGTCACCAGACCTCTCTTCCAGATGGCGAAATTGTCATTTCACACCCAAGCTTAATCATCAAATCATCAATCAGTTAAATCAATACTAATTTTGACTCCATCCCAAGCTGTTTCACCAGACACTAAGACTGTGGCACTAATAGATGGCTGCTCTATTCTCTACAGCATAAATATCATATTCACCTGCATGAGAAGAATAAAGGAAAATGAAAGAGAGAAAAACACTAAGAGATCTGCTTGCATTGCAAACAGATTGAGGATCCTTTGATGCTTTTTCCCTGAAGATCTCCCACTCACATACACTACCGTTCAGACGTGTGGGGTCAACCAGATGTTTAATATTAATAGCTTTATTCAGCAAAGATGCATTAAACTGAAAAGTGACCACTGCATGAGAAGAATAAAGGAAAATGAAAGAGAGAAAAACACTAAGAGATCTGCTTGCATTGCAAACAGATTGAGGATCCTTTGATGCTTTTTCCCTGAAGATCTCCCACTCACATACACTACCGTTCAGACGTGTGGGGTCAACCAGATGTTTAATATTAATAGCTTTATTCAGCAAAGATGCATTAAACTGAAAAGTGACCATTTCAAATAAACGCTGCTCTTATTAACTTTTGTATTTCTCAAAGAATCCTGAAAAAAATGCATCATGGATTGCACACAAAATATTAATCAGCACAACTGTGCTTTACACTGATAATAATAAGAAATGTTTCTTAAGCAGCAAATCAGCATTTTAGAATGATTTCTGAAGGATCATGTGACACTGAAGACTGGAGTAGTGATTGTCATCACAGGAATAAATTGTAAAATATATTCGAATAGAAAAGAGTTCTTTTAAATTGTTATTTCATAATCAAATAAATGTGGCCTTGGTGAGCAGAAGATACTTCTTTCAAAAACAGTTAGAACATTAGTGTAGATGGACTAGTGGTATCCACATTGGTCAGGAGAGATTAAGGGTTCATGCAAGTTCTTCAAGGCGAGCCTAGTTTAAAACCCTGAATGTAGAGGTCAGGTCCTCAGACTGAATGGGCCTTCACTAAGAGAAGTAACAGCACACTACTGCCGAAGTTCAATACTTAGGGTTTTGTTCAAATCCCCAACACTATGTATAATGGTAAGCAACACCAATTATAGCAGGTATAAGTGATTGTAAGCACTTAGTTGTTTAAAGGAATAGTACCCCCAAAAAAGAAAATTTGCTGAAAATTTACACCGTCCGGCCATCCAAGATGTAGATTATTTTGTTTCTTCATCAGAACAGATTTGGAGAAATTTTGCATTACATCACTTGCTCACCAATGGATTCTCTGCAGTGAATGGGTGCCGTCAGAATGAGAGTCCAAACAGCTGATAAAAACATCACAGTAATCCACAAGCATTCCACTCTACTTCAGTACTTCAAATAATGTCTTAGAAAAGCTGAAAAGGCATTATTATGGAGTATGGACTGGCAAGAAATGCCGTTTAAAATTAAAATACCTTAATAATGGATTTGTTTCTTACAAACATGCAGCTGCAAGTGAGCAAGTGATGTAATGCTAAATTTCTCCAAATCTGTTCCAGTGAAGAAACAAACTCAGCTACATCTTGAAAGGCATGAGGGTGAGTAAATGTTTTAATTTTTGGGTCAACTGTTCTTTTAACTTGTGTTACACCTTGCATAGTGAAGGCCAATTGAGAAGTGAGATTCTATAAAAGTAGTACAGCCCACAGTCCTGTTTGATATGTGCTTGGTAAAGTCATCCTCAGATTACATTAGAAGAAACTGAACTATTTACTTTAGCTTAAATGATCTGTAGGCAAAGTGAAAGTGCATATTTGCCGAGTCTGTCCTCTCTGGCCTGTATCAGATTAACTCATTTTGAGGCCTAATTGAAACAGAGCTGACTGACTGGCACCAAGTTTTGGCATAGTGGCATACTCACTACAGCTGAGTCCTTTTGCAGGCTGCCTCCTGCTCACACAGCTGGTCCGCAATTATCTCTGTTTGCATGAAGTGAAGTGAAGTGGCCAAGTATGGTGACCCATACTCGGAATTAGTGCTCTGCATTTACCCATCCAAAGTGCACACACACAGCAGTGAACACACACAAACCGTGAACACACACCCGGAGCAGCGGGGAGCAGTTGGGGGTTCGGTGCCTTGCTCAAGGGCACCTTGTCGTGGTATTGAAGGTGGGAGAGAGCGCTGTACATTCACTCCCCCCACCTACAATCCCTGCCGGTACGAGACTCGAATTTATGCATTTAGCAGACGCTTTTATCCAAAGCAACTTAACAGTGCATTCAGGCTCTACATTTTTTACCAGTATGTGTACTCTCTGGGAACCCACGACCTTTTGCACTGCTAATGTAATGCTCTACCACTGAGCCACAGGAACACTGTAGTATAGTGTGGCCATAGTATAGCAGCTCTACAGCAGGAGGGACACATTTTGTTGCTCAAAATAATCTGCATGCTTTAATAAGGTAGTGAGAAATCAAAAAAAATTTTATTAAAAAAAAAGTACATTGCAGTATTATGATCGTGTGTATTCAAACAGTT